CTGCAGTAACAAAGTCTGACTGTCTCTAATGCTAAGGCTTTCTTTCTTCTCAAATTCAGGGAGCTTACCTAACCTCACACTAAGCATGTGCTTAAAGGGAGACGATGACAAGAAATATAAGAAATTTCTGTTTATCTTCAGAAAATGATCAGTAAACCTATTACCACTCGCTAATTATGTATGCACATGTAAATTCCTTTTTATAAGCCTGTGTCAAACAAATTTGGATGAACGTGTTTTCCTTGGCATATCTATGATGGTGGAGCTGGGTTTTTTTTGTTGTTGTTTGTTTTGTTTTGTTGCTCATTTGTATTCTAAGTTGTATGCTTCCCAACAATCCTAATTCTAAAGGATAGGAGCTAATAATACTAGACCTTCAGATTTTGCTCTGGATAATAAGCAACAGAGATATCATAGAATCCCAAAATAATTTGTTTTGGAAGGAACCTTAAAAAACATCTAGTTCCAAATCCCCTATAATGGACAGAGACACCTTCCAGTAGAGTAGGTTGACCTTTCAAAGCACTTCCAGAGAAGGGACTTCCACAGCTTCTCTAGGCAACCTTTTCCAGTGCCTCACCACTCCATAGTAAAGAATTTTTCCTACTATCTAACCTAACCATACCCTTTTTGGCTTAAAAATGTTACTCCTTGTCCAATCACTATGCTTCGTGATAATGATTCCCTCCCCATCTTTCCTGTAGGTCCCCTTTAAGTCTCGGAAAGATGCTTGGAAAAATGTAAAGCCTATTCAGAGTCTTCTCTTCTTTAGGCTAGATAACCCCAACTTTCTCAGTTTTTCTTCATAGGAGAGGTGCTCTAGCCCTCTGATAATCTTCCTGGACCTCCTCTGGACTCTCTCCAACAGATCTATTTTGGGGGCAGCAAGGGTGGATGCGGAAATGCAGGTGAAGTCTCACAAGACTAGAGAAGAGAGGGAAGATCATCTTCTACTTGCAACCTCCACTTCTTTAATGCAGCCTGGGATACAGTCAGCTTTTGGAGCTGCAAGAACACACTGCTCACTCACATAAAGCTTTTCATCCACCCAAGTCCTTCTCTACAGAGCTACTCTCCATCCACTCATCACCTAGCCTGTATTTATATTTGGGATAGCCCTATACCAGGTGCATTACCTTGCTATTGGCCATGTTATGAGGTTTGCATGGGCCCTCCTCTCAAGCCCATCAAGATCCCTCTGGATGGTATCCCTTTCCTCCAGCATGTCAGCCACATCACTCAGCTTAGTACTTGCTGAGGGTGCACTCAATCCCACTGTCCATGTCATAATACTGGCCTCAATACTGGCTGAAGAACATTACCTGTCATTGGTCTCCATATGGGTATCGAGCCATTGTGCACAACTTTTTGAGTGCAACCATCAAGTCAATTCTTTGTCTGCCAACTAGTCCACCCATCAAATCCATGTCTTCATTTTATAGTATAGTATATAAAGTATATGCTATACAAGTATATAATGTGGGACAGTATCAATTGCTTTGCATAAGTTCAGGTAGATGACAACAGTATCTCTTCCCTTATCCACCAATACTGTAACCCCATTGTCAGGTATGACTTGCTCTATTAAACTATTAAGCAATATCAAATAAAGAAGGCTAAGTTGTATGAATGCCTATTGAGCATACAATACATAGCAAAAAAAATATGAGTAGGATTTCTTAGTACTATTATCACAACAGTTTGGAAGGTAAGAATCATTATATTAATTTTAAATATGGAAAGAAGTGGAGGAGTCTAGTTTTCCTAGCTCCAAGTCTGTGGTTTATGAGAATGTGTTTAGTTTAATTTGTGCAAAGATAATTCATGTAAGATAGCTACAACCCAGACAAAGAAGAAAAATTGAGGAGGTGATGAATGTCTAAAAAATACGTATAATTCTTTAAAACGATGGAGAAAAATTGAGAAGGGATTTTTTAGTTCAGAGTGATCACCTGCTTTCGGAATTGCAGTATAGACTTTTTTAAATCACAGTAAGCCTTAACATTTTCAAAGGTAACAGTGATAGAAAAGCATGCATTTAGGTTGTTACGAATCTTTAGATTTCCTACATATATTGATACTTGAACATCTGTGAAAATGTACATGCTGCATAGTCCTTTGGGAAGAATTATTTTTATGTTTAAACACTTCTGTATATAAAACGTACTTACTACAACTTGTTTCCTATTCTCACTCCTGAATTATTCATGAAATAAGTCATCAGTCCCCCTTTAAACAAAGATTGACATTTTTATGATGAATTGTGGAGCGGAATAGCAACATTGTAGTCTGCTAGTGACAGTTTATTTCTTTTTTAGCTACCTTTTAACACTCTCCTTGTTTTACTCTTGTTTATGGAAATGCTGCTTGTGTCTGTAGATTTGTAGTGAATTATAGTTAAGACTGAGCAAAGAAAATGTAATTCCTTATAATAGAGTATAGGGTCAGTGTACTTTTCACTAAAAACAATTGATACATAAACATTGATATAATAATCTTTCTTACCCATCATTAAAACTGTCCCAAAATGCTTGGAGACTAATTAGCATCAGTTAGTGTAAATTATTTTCTCCAATTGTATGAATTGTAATAATTGTATACATTTCTTTTAAATGTTAAAGACCTTCTATCAAACATGATATTTGCCTTCATTGCATAAAGTTCTTATGTTCTAGCCACAAACACATTTTTCCATGTGACATCTGAAAATCATTTCTCTAAGAATCAGCAAGGAGGGTTCACATTTTAACACAAAATTGAAAAAAGTGAGCCTGAAACCATCCGTGGAAATTCAAATGTTGAGAGAGTAGAATTCTGAGTGCCCCAAAGTGACACTTTGATGTTTTGCATAACCAGCCATTATGCCAGCGTAAGTAAAAGAGCATCACTGTTCCTTTCCAATCAAGCACCAGTGTTGATATTTTCCTGTATGACCTACTGCTTGTGCAGCCTTTCTGCTGTGCTCTGAGTCTGCTGAGATTTGCAGATGATTTCTAAGCCAGTGGGATGAGTGGCTTGGGTAACTGTTTCCATTTGTGATGGTGAAGTTTTATTCCTTTAAAATTAGGATCATAGGATCATAGGATGGCTTTGGTTGGAAGGGATCTTAATGATCATCTACTTCCAACCCTCCTGCTGTGGGCAGGCTTGCCCACTAGATCAGGTTGACTTTCTCCATAGTACTCACGTTCCTTATAGGGTAAGATGTGGGAACAGAGGAAAACAAAGTCATCTACTAGTACATAAAGAAAAAAGGCTGAAAAAGTTGAATAGAGATCTTTATCACCTCTGAATCATAAAGGGCAAATGAATTTGTTGTTTAAGTACCATAATATGAGAGAGTTTTACTCATTTCTTAGCTGTGCTTTGAGCTCACTGAGGGATTCAGGACCTTTGTAAAATGCACATAGTGTTGTTTCTCAATAGAGTATGAGGAAAACAAAATCATTTTTACACTCTCAGTGCAGCAGCACTGGGAATTACAAATAACATATAATGAATAGAAAATAGAATGTACTTTTCTTGACTAAAGCACATTTTATTATATTTTGAGGTCTGAAACAGAGAGACATCAGGATCTCCAATCTGGCTTCTGTAATGAAAGAGTGGTTTGAAATGCCTGTATGTAATTACTGTGTCCTATATGCTGGTCCACCAGTAATGTGGAAATCCAGTCTTTACCTAATTGTAAGGGTTATGTATGAAATTAAGGTTTGCTTTTTGGCTAAGGTAAAGGTAAGGAGTCTTTTAAATAGGATGAGATCCATACAGATCTCTATGCCAGATTAGATCCCATCTCCGACCTTTACCAAGCTTCTAAGAAATATTTGGTGACATTTTATAGTTCTGAATTGCAGGCTGAGTAAACTGTTGACCTCTGTTGACTACATTTAAGCTAATTTGTGCAGAAATCGCAGACACTTAGGTGCCAAAATGAGTTGTCTTTAGGTTTCTAATGAACACTTAATGTCCACATTTCTACTGTTAACTAAGCTGGTTAAACTAAAGCTGATGAGTTTATGTCTGCCTTGAGTGCAGGTACACAGATATTATTTTTATGCTTTAATTCTTGCTGGTTATTCAGTGGGAATAATAGCACCCCCTTCCCACACAGGTGATTGTGAAGCTAGGTATATGAGCAGACTGTAGTGTAATGGGGGTTTCAGACGTGTGTTAAATGGTTACAATCTAGGGTGAAATATTAAGAAAATATCCCTGGAACTGGAAACAGTTTGGAACTGTCAGTTTGTTGTAGTCAAATACTGTATTCAGTCCAGACCTACCTTAAATAGGAAATTTTGCACTGCTGTCATGTAGAGTTACTTTTCTCACATGTGATCCACAAATCAGAGTCTGAAAGTCCTCTGACATAGCTGGCACTATTAGAAACTGACTCTTCTCTCTAATTTTCATATTGCAGAAACTCATCCTGAGGCTTCTTGTGTGCATTTTACTAATCCGACCTATGGCACCAAATGGTGACCGTAATCAGAGAGAGTGGTTCCCAGAATTACGATATTAATTATAACAACAGCTTTCATTCTTTTCATGTTTAAATCATTTAAAGATGGCTTGCTTCTCTTGTGACTGTAAAAGACTGTTTAAAACCACTTCCCCAGATATTTTTGCTCTCTCCTTTCTGCACAAACAACCCCATCCAAATCTTTATCTGTGTCTGTCTTCTGGCTTGGTGAGGGCAATCTGTGTGTAGAACCTTCTACAGCTGGAGGCTTGGGTTAGTGAAACACAGTAAATTTGGGGCCCCTTCATTTTCTTAACTGTCCTAGAAAACATGGGGTCTTTTCTGCAGGTTTCATGCTAAAAGGGAGTTCACTTGAAATGTCACATTGGAAGCCAAATCCAGATCATTTTGCACGGATAAAATGTTAATCTTAGAGATTACTTTAAAGTAATCAATCATAAAATAATAATAATAATAATAAAATTCTATTCATTGCAGTAGAGCCATTTTTCTTGTTGTTGTTTACTTCTACTGTAAGGGGGGCAAGATTCCCATCCGATGGACATCGCCAGAAGCCATAGCATACCGGAAGTTCACATCAGCCAGTGATGCGTGGAGTTATGGGATTGTGCTCTGGGAGGTGATGTCTTATGGAGAGAGGCCGTACTGGGAGATGTCCAACCAGGATGTAAGTAAGCTGTTATCTGAGTTCTGTTCTCAAACAGAGGATCAGAATGCGAAAGTAAGTGAAGCATAATGAAACCAGGTGGCTCTGAGTTTTTGACATTGACATTGAAGAAGATGTAGAAGTGAAAATTTCTCCATCTCTCAGGAATAAGTTCTGATGAGCTTATATATTTTTAGTTGGGTATTCTGGACTTCTGAAGGAGCATACTAGAGAATCTTATCACTCTGTTGATTTTCTGTAGGATGATTCAAACAGTTTCACCACAGTGGTATCATTGTCTTTTATATTCCTTGACTTATTATTAGAAAACTCTCCTAAATTTCTGTTGATGCTCTTTGGTTCCACTTCTATAATACCGCATAGAAGCTTTCAGTAAATGTCAAATATGCAGAACAAGTTGCTCTTAAAGCTTGTGAAAAATAGAAATACAGTATTTCAACTAAAAGTGTAATGAAACCAAAATATTTCTGGAAGTAATTAAGGGATAAAGTAGAGTAGTAGAGTGATTTTATTAGAAGACTTCAAATGCAGGCTTCTTTGCAGCACCAGTAAACTATCCAAGTCTGTAATCCAAATGATTAATGCATCTCTCCCAGTATTTCTTAAGAAGAATAGTATTTCCCAAGTGAGATTGTTGATATATTCTTTTTGAGTGTGTGTGTGTTTGTGTGATTCTTTATTGTTGTTGCCATAAAAATCCTAGTTTTATTCCATGGGAGATATGAACCAAATCTTCTGATATACAATCACTAATGCACATAGATTTTCCCAAAGGATTATATTTTTAGTGCTAGGCTCAAGAATGTCAGTAACATAGCTGGAGACATACTTTGCCAATGCTACTTCATACTAAATAAGAAAAAAAAAGAAAAACCAGAACAAAAGTTTTCCTTTCAAATTAGTACCTGTGGAATACAAGTCTGCAGCAAGCTACGTATATCTTTTAATTAGTCATGAAGACTTCAATTGTTGGTGAAGTTTAATTAATTGTGTTACATAGGCTGATATACTAGTGGGATGCCTTTCTGTAATAACTGTTCACAGTAAAATGAGAAACAGAAATATTAACCTATATCTTTATATTGGCTGCTTTAATTATAGACTTTTTTATTATCCCTGCTCTAACTCAGATTTTTCATGTTTTTTTACTAACTGATTCAGTAAAAAGAAAGAAAAAAAAACAACTGAGAGGATAACAAAATATTCCTTTATTGTTTTCTACTTACAATGTGTCGGTTTTTTGACTTATATACAGTAGGACTGATCAATAGGCATCATACATTGTGAAAAGTTTATATTAGAAAGTGTTAATATTGGGCTAAATTTTGTTCTGTCATGTGGTGGTTTTGATTTCATTGGCCTTGAATCTAAATAACTTATAAAAGAGCTTGAATTTAAACAACTGATAAAAGATTCATAGAAGAAGCACTGAGTTACCTTGTGGAAAGTTTTTAAAGTATTTTCTGGCTCTATGAGATCAGTTACAGACTCATTTCTCAACATGACCTTCTACCTACCAGTGCAGTCTCCTGTGACAAGGTTGGTTGGTCTTCTGCCATATGCAGCATCCACTGGAGAGTATGGGACACACCTGTTTGTTAGCATGGTCAGACAAGTGACATTCAAGACCTTTTGCATTTTAGCATATTTAAGTAGGCAGCTTGCTAAATATATAGCTTTTATTTATGGTTCTAGTTCAATCAAATGTGAGTTGTGGAGATCCTTTTTAGACTCTCACCTTCCTCAAAGTCATATACTGTATCTTAACTCTCCCACAGCCCTTTCTGCATGCCTAATTTACTGCCTGGTTTACTTTGCAGATAAACCAAGAGCATTGCACTGCAAGACAATTAGTGAATAAACACAATTGTTTAAACATTGAATGTCCATGTTAATGTGGTTCACATAACTGATAAAAACAAATTGATGCAAGTGCCTTCAAGTTTTCAAAAACTTTTATCCTTGTGCAGGTAATTAAGGCTGTTGATGAAGGGTATCGCTTGCCACCTCCTATGGACTGCCCAGCTGCCTTGTATCAGCTGATGCTGGACTGCTGGCAGAAAGACAGAAACAACAGACCCAAGTTTGAGCAGATTGTCAGCATCCTGGATAAGCTGATCCGTAATCCCAGCAGTCTGAAAATAATCACCAATGCAGCAGCAAGGTGACATATTAGATCCTACATTGCATGTGACTAAATGTCTTTGATTTCTTTTTCGTCCATAATTAGAATTTGTTTCATTTCTTTACCTACATCTTCATTTTCTAACCACAAATATTTGCAGTCTTAAAGAGGACAGTGAGCTTTCTGTCTGTTCATTTGGGAGAACTATTTAACATTATCATTGCTGCAATTTTTGCTAACGATGCACTATTATTCAAATTTTGCAAAGCTAGTATAGTATGGTTATGAAACCCACAGTAGGACGGAGCAGAGATTTGTGAGAGAGACAGAGATGAAAGATTTGGTCATTGTGTAATATTACTTTTTTTCTCATTAAACCTTGGATGTTGCTTTAAATGGTTAGTGTTTCATAGGTCACAGCTAGCCATGTTCCTAAGTATCTTTCAGAATTGGACCCAAGCACATAGCATACACTCTTACAGTGTACTCTGTGCTGACAAGTTACTTTAATCATATCAATAACCTTTTTGCTTTCAGCAGGACTCACAGTCTTAAAGATGCACTTACATTCGCTGTTTGATATATGCCTTACCTAGGAATTATTTCCAACCCATGCAGTGTTACCTAATTGCATTAAAAACATTCATTTATAATACAGGTTATTCAACACATTCTGGAACATCTCTATGATGAAATAAGAATTATTAAGAGAAAGTGAAGAGTGTGTTGACACCTAAGATGGATGTGGTGAAATAAAATCTTTGGTTTAGTAGACTTTAAGTGAATTGGTTTATATAATGCGCAGAACATCATACTTTTGCTTTAGTGATCTGAAGAAATGTGAAATTATTTTTAGCACCAATGCTTATGAAGAATTCTCCATCCACAAAGTAGACTGTCAGGGGGTAATCCATGCTGATTCTTCACACCCAGGTCTCCAAGAGCTGTTTCAGGGCAGGAGTACACATTCTACCATGAGGTGAGCTTTGCAAATGAAGATGGCAAGTCACTCCTCCCAGACCTTTGCTTCTGGCACAGCCCCCTTCTCCCTGCTGCAGTCTAGCAGGAAAGCACAGAAAGAAACAGATAAAGCAGCACAGCTAGGAGGGCTGCACTAGTGCTGTGGGCCACTAGGCAAGCTGCATGGACCTCACTTTCTTTTTTGTGTATCTGGTGTTGCTCATGTTGCTCATGTGGCTGTCCTGGCCACTGTCTGCTGCCACTCCCAAGGCATCAGCAAGAAAGCAGAGGTGGGAGGAAGAAGAAAGACTTGCTAGTGGGCTTTGCTGTTAGAAATACTTGAGAGAAGTCTTCTTGCACAGTAACTACATTTCATGATTTAATTGGTGAGCATCTAACGTACATTAAATCAGCATGCTTACCAGAGTGGTTATTTCTATTACCTGCTGGGTGACTGGTTAGGGAAAAAAAAAAAAAAAAAAAAAAAAAAAAAAGCTTTTTAAAGCATTATCTTCTCCATGAAGCAGGTTTATTCTAATCATCCTGCAACCTCATTTGGTAAATGGTTGATGCAAGCATCTGTTTTATACAAATACACTAAAGTGGTCTGCTAGGTTAGAAGAGACCACTTTAGTGTATCTGTATAAAATAGACTTTAAATAGGGGATCACAACTATCATATTTTGGTTTTGGGTTGTGATTGTAGAAAGTGATACCTTTTCCCTGTTTATTGTCCTCCCACTGAGGCAGATGAACCACAGCAGAGTGGAAAACAGTGTTAGCTGTCATTTCCAGCTTCCACTTCAGAGCAAGTAGAAGCTGATATCCTCTACTGAAGCCCACATTCAGAGTACTGCAGTGGAGCACTGCATTCTTGCTTTTCCAAGCAGCTGAGCCCCTCTCCTCCTCTGCAGCACCTCACTGGCTGGTGACAGATGCTGTAGTGGGACCTGCTTCAGGCCCTGGGCCAGCCCAAGCTCCTAGCCTCTGGGAAGCTGCATGGTGCCATTCAGGGTATATGTGACCCATAATCTTTCCATCTAAGTCTGCAGCCTATGATCCGTGCCAATCTCATGTCACTGCCAGCAACTGGGCAGGAACAGGCCTGGCTGCAGGGGACACACAGGGTGAACTAGTTCCCAGGGGATTACATCAGTGCTAATGGCTGCTCTCAGTAGTTATTTGTGTCTGTAGTACTCCTACTGCACCTATCTCCACACCCGCAGTAAGCAATTAATCTAAATTATGGAGGTCCCTCTTCTACCCATGTCTATGCTGCTACTGGTAGAATGGTAGAGCTTTATGCGTAACATATGTTCTTAAGTGTTCAAAATGTATTTGGTCAGGAAAATTGTTTAACCTGATGATGTCTGCTGCAGATGCAAAGCCAGTCTCTTCTTGCATATTTTCAAGTTGGTGCTTAAAGCAGTTACAGTGATGTTGTATCCTATTTGAAAACACATTTCTGGAGGTGCACAGGATATCCCTGCCCTCTAGTATGCTGCTTTTAACTGACTGCACCTGAAGGATGTGCTCAGCTCTGTGTCTGATTCCGTATCCCCAGCACATTTTATAGTAATATCTCATAGGAATACAGGAGAGGAGTCAAAACCTTCACTTCTGTATTCCCTTTCAGTTTTCTATCCCTTCTGGCCACTCCATGGCATCTAATAATTTCTTGGTACCTTGGGGGAAGTTTTTATCCTTATTGATCGTCTCTTTGCAGACCTCGCTACGTGCTTGTGAACCTCGCTTCAACAAAAGCTTTTTGTAGTCTCACTGTAGCAACTGTTTCATGATACCTTTCCTCACGTTATGTTTTATCTCTAATTCACTCGAGAATTCCTTTCCTATTCCTTGGAAAGTACAGACCATGGCTGATTGCTTTCTTGTCCTTTTAATTAGGTGGCCACCTTGAGTTCTTTTAAACAAGGTCTGCACTGGACACATTGGTGTTTTGTGTCCCTCAGCCTGCCTTGAATTATCCAGCTCTGTAAAGAGCCATAGAAGCAGAATGTGGTGCACACAGAGTTGCACAAGTCATGCAGTTTCCTAAGGCATAACCGCATGATATTTGTATTTGATTTATGTCTTGCTGTTCTTTCTTGTTTTCTAAGCATTATGTTCATTTTTATAACAGAGTCTTTAGGTTGTTTGGATACCTTTAGGGTGGAAGTGAGTTCATAGTTCCCCCAGTTTTGATCAGTTTTATTATTTTTTTTCTTGAGCTTATTATTTTTTCAGTCCACTGTGTATTACTTCACATTTGTGAACATTTCATGCAGATACAAAGCAGATGGAAAGTTTTCCAACTTGAATAAAGAGACAGAGTCACTTCACTCACCTGCTAACCAGTTATAAAGCTATCATCTATAAGGGATCGCATTTTTATTTATTTGTGTAGAAAAAAACATAACCCAAGAGTCACACAACTGAAAATATTTTGTATATGCTGCTTTTCGGTGTCTTTATCTGTTTCAATTTTTTTCACTTATTTTATCTGGTTTGTTTCAGAAAGAACACTTCTCCTATATTTACATATTTATAATGGCTGAAGGGTTGCAGTGTAACTGTATGTGAACCTCACCACAACCATTTGAAAAAGATATTTAAAACATGATGTTTAATTAGAAATACATTTAAAGAATTTCTGTGCCCAAAATGAATTATGTTGTTGAAAGACCGTGTGACATTTTGGCGTAAGTGTTGTAATACGGGGTTAAGACAGCCCATGTACTGTGGCAGTCTTCCTCTAGCTGCAACAGTGAACGTGGTGCTGAGTACCCTCACATCTGTGATGCAGGTACAACTGAAGTCACTTAGTCTTTAGGAGCCTGATAAAACAGGAATAACCAAGTTAGTCCATGGCCCTGCCAAGAAATCATTTGGGAAAAAAAAATTGAAGATGATTTTCAGAAATTCTGAATTTCTATCAGATCTGTGCTTTCTTTTAAAACTGGGAAGGAATCCATGCAAACATATAATTAATTTGCTTCTGTATATTTAGGACAGGAGGAAATAAATAATTTTACAAACACTGGGAGGAAAAGCCCTGAGAAATCAGGATATTTACTAAGCACTCTGCAGACATTTTATGTGTGTTTTAGTGTTATAATAGCTGTATTTAAGAGCAAGAATGGCAAGGGTTTGCATCATATTAAGTGCAGAAAATGGAGAATTGATGGTCTTCTAAAAAATATAATTATTTTGTGAGATGCTGCTCACAGTTTAGCAGCTGATATTTTTTTGTTGTTTTCATGAGATTTTCACTAAAAACATGTGACTTATTTAGCTTTGTGCATTTGGAGGAGTTCATATCTAGCTCAAACATTTACTACAGAAAGTAATTATCATTTCTTAATACTTAGAATCTGGTGAATTTTGTCCACTGAAATGCCAGCAGTATGATTTGAAATACATTCATGAAACTGTTTTCCAATTTGGAAATGCTGCTATCAGATGGCTTGCAGAAGCAATTGGTCCTCACTTTATTCTGAAAAATGTCAAAACATCATCTATTTCAGGTCCTATTCCTATCTATCAGAAAATTTAAAGTACCTTCTGCACCAGAGGATTAATCAGCAAATTTGTCCCAGATCTTTGAAGAAAAAGGTGTTACTTAAATGAAAAGGACAAAGATAGTTCAGCAGAGCCATCAAGCTTCAGTAAAGCTATTTAATTTCATCAGCAGAGACAGGATGTAAAGCTGACTCGAACTTTGCAGACTCCTCTCTCTGCCTCCCAAGCACTGCTTGTGGCATCAGCCAACCTCACTAACTTCCTGTCAGTCTCTGGGTTTCAGAGACTTTCAAAGGATTCAAAGTCTGAATCTTTGTTCTTGTGCATGGAGTCTTCTGAAGCAAAGTTTTATTTTGTAAATCCAAATGCATTAATCCACTAGTATGCTCCAGATACCATATTAAATGTTACATATTACAATATGTGCAGAGGTCTGCCTTTAATTTGCAGCTTATTAAAGAATATCAAAATAGACGTATAATGTGGAAAGCTGAGTCTAAAATACGGATAAGAAAGCAGACTTTTAAAGAAATCACACCACTCTCAAAATAAAAAAGATG